CTAATCCGTTTCAGATCGTTGCCTCCACGTGGCAGGGACACAAAGGTAATTAGCACCCCGGGCTCCACCTGCGCCACCCACTCCTTGGGCTCGCTCTCCTCCACGAACACCACCGGATCGGCCCGCCGCCCGCTCACCGACGCCGGCGTCACCTCGCCGCTCGATATCCCCTTCAGCCTCGCCTCCAGCTCCCTCCGCCCCGCCGTCGAGCTCGAGTTCGAGCTCGAGCTCCCCGTCCGCCGGTACGACCACCGGAACCTGTCCGTCTCCAATTCCCCTCCGCCGCCGCCGATGCTCCCGCTCCTCTTCAGCTGCCCCGCCGCCGCCGCCGCCGCCGGAGGCTGGCTCGCGCACGGCGCGCAGTGGCGGTACGCGCCCGACGCCTTCAGCGCAATGTCCTTGATCTACAGTGTCAATCTCAAAAAATCAAAATCAACATTCTCAATTCAAAATAAAAATTTGAAAAACCACGATTTCGATTGGCGGCGAGATGACCTGAGACGAGAAGGCTTTAATCGCGTGTTTGGTCGGGGCAGCATTAGAGCTGGATTTCTCCGGCGGCGGCGGCTGCTGATCGGCCGGCGGCAATTGGCGGTCGTCCACCGGTGCTTGTTTGGAGCGTGCAATGCACGTGAGCATCTTTTTGTTTTCACGCGAACTGCACTGCTGTATTAGATACAGATATTTGTATGTATATGTATGTATCTATCTCTATATCCCGAATGAATTTGGCGATGGCTGATGAGAGCCTCTAAAAGGCCGTTTTAATGCGCTTCCTTAAATCGCGCCATCAGATAAATTCCTGTTCGTATTAATTACACAGTACACAATACAGCATGAGTGCTCCAACAATGAGAAGTAATTATAAGTGTTGAGCACTGTTTATATGTTTTGTTTTGTTAGTTTATTATAGTTTTTTTTTTTCAAAATAAAAAAAAAAAAGAAAAAAAGAAAAGGATTGTTGAATTTTACTGTTTTGATTTGTGTTTGTGCACAAAAGCTTTTCTAGAATTGAGAAGGCTGAAGAAATGGAGTACTTGGTCGAGAAGGAAGTTGGTGGTATAAAAAAAGGAGGGTGAATTTGAAAAGTGGTTCCAATTAACTTTTGACTATATGAGATCGCATCTTGGGCTTCGGGTAGGGATGTGTAGAGGCGAAAATGTAAAAATAAACTTTAGGTAACTAACTTTTCAAAAGTTAAATTTGCAAAAATTAATCAATAAGCTTTTAGATGTGTCAATAGTAGCCAATAACTTTAGGCTCCGTTGTTTTGAAGGATTTGAAAACCTTTGATTTCAAAATTTTTGAAATATAATATTTTTTACTTGTACGCTCCTTGAATAGATGTGTTGAAAATATTATAAATCAGTTGTCTAGCTCGCACCGATGGTGTTGACTCGCGTTGGTGATGAACCTAAATGATCGCGGACGGCGTGGCCGTAACGGTGATAAATAATGGATTTCAAATGACTAGGTTTGAGGAGTCATTTCAAATCCTTCAAAATAATGACTAAAAAACATTTAACATGAATTTGAAATCCTCCAACTTCCATTATCGTCCCAACATGCATGAGAATTTGAACTTGTAAATTTGAAATCCATGGATTTCAAATCCCTCAGTAAATCCTTTCAAAACAAACGGAGCCTTAGTTATTATTCTAAAATGGTCAGGCCTGTCGAAAAAGCAACAGAAAATGCATAGCCCGACGAGTCTAATGTGGATATATAGCTTGATGTGTAGTTATACATCGAACCGGCTCTCCACAATTGGTTCTACCAGTATGCTCCCTGAAGACCTGTACAGGAAGGTGTTTTCGGCGTTAAACCTTCGTTAGTCAAGTCACAATAATTTTAACAATAATACTTTTTGTGATTCGAAATATTCCAATAGGTCGTGGTAAGACATTTCCCTCAGAGTCTTGTAGTTCGTATGCTCCACCTGCTGGTACCCTTTGGACGATGTATGGTCCTTCCCAGTTAGGCTCCAATTTCCACACATGTTTCAATATGTCAGCTCTTCTCCAGACTAGGTCTCCGACCTAAAGTTGTCTTTACTTTACATTCTTATCATCATGAGCTAAGAACATCTTTTGGTTGTACTACGTTGTCCTTAACCATGCTTGCTCCCTTGCCTCATCTCTCATGTTGTTTTGTCGCAAAAATAGATACTCGCTGTGAGCTAATACCAATTTCGACTAGAATAACTGTTTACATCCCATACATTAAGCTAAATGGAGTTTTTCCTGTGGCCATCCTTGGCGTGCTCTGTACATCCCAAAAGAATTGTTAGTTATATTTGTTGTATTCTTGTATTGTAGGTTAGGTTTAGGTTCAACTTAAGGTTAATGCTCATCTATGTATCTATATATGTGTAATCTCTTTGTGAATAAACAATACATATTCCCACATTCTCACAAGAATGTTTAATTTTTTTTTTCTTATTTAGTAAGAATGATTTTCTTTTCTTTTTTTTTTAAGGAAGATTTTACTATTTTTACTAAATTTAAACCTTTATATATATATATATATAATATTTATATGCATATAGATATATAATATGTATATGCATATAGATATAGATATATAATTTAAACCTTATTTCTACTCTAGCGCGGACTTTACTCTACTCTAGAGTAGAGTTGAACATTCGTCTCTAGTCTTTACACTAGAAGAAATTGTCAAAATGCCAACAAAAATTACCATAAAAAAATTTTCCGTTGGAGATTACCAACGGATTAGCAATGCATTATATATACAATTTTTATAAACGGATTACCAACAGAATACTAACAAAATATAGCAACAAAAATTATATCTTTGTACTCCGTTGGCAAATAGTGACGGAAATATTCCGTTAGTAAATACAGACAAAATACTAAGGCGACATTTACTTTGAAGTATGGGATTGGACAATTTAATCCAACTCACTTTACACGTCAGCAATTGTCCAGCAATTGTCCTATGTTTACTTTAACAGATACAATTTTCTGATAACAAACTAAATTAGATGATGGAGCTCAATTTGACAGAATTATCCTTGGTACAATTACTCATATTTTCAGACTGGATGCTCAATTCACAATTGCATTGTTCTCAAAAATAGAATACGAGCCCTAATTTTTGCCCTCATCTCAGAACTCACAGCAGCGTAATTTGGAGTGGTCGGCGACGTCGACGGCAGGCGTGGTTGACGTGGGAGAGGACGGCATTCCGATGGCAACAGTAATTTGAAGAGGAAGAGAAAACTAAAATATGCCGAATTTGAACAAAATGTAACCTTTAATGAGCACCAAAATAATGAAACCATAACAGGCTGGAATGTCAAGGTGTTTTCCTACACCAGTACCTGGAAGAGCTCACAGTTATGCCCGACGGAGATGGCGTTTTGTTCCGGAGAAACCCAAATTGCGATAACTTAAAAAAAATCGAATTGAAATTGAAATGGAGAAAAAATAGATGGAGAAATCGACAGAGAAAACGAATTAATAAACGAATCTAACACGAAATCGACATAATTTGAAATGAAGGAAAAAATGGCAAATGTGGAGCTCAAAACAATGGCGCCCCCGTCTCTGCAGAAATTAGGGCAATGACATGTGAAGATTTTATTGCTATGCCAGTTGTAAATTAATGCAAATTAAGGGACATTTTGGACATTTAACTGCGAAATTTGAGGGCAATATAGGTATCCTAAGCGCGAGATTATTATATCCGGGGAGGAGAGCGGGATGAATTTATCGGCAAATGATGGATGAACCAGTGGAGCCGCCTTCCACATATGCGCCATGTCAGGCAAATCCAATCCCATTCCCATAAAGTAAACGTAAGATATTTCAAGACTATTTTGCTTATCCTGTCCTGTCCCGTAAAGTAAACGACGCCTAATAGAATAGCAACAAACTCTTTCAAAATTGTATAAGCAACGGATTATTCCGTTGGTATATAGCAACGGATTTTTTCCGTTGGCAAATAGTAACGGAATAGCAACGGGCACCTTCAATATTGTATTAGCAACGGATTATTCCTTTGGTAAATAGCAGCAGATTTTTCCGTTGGAAAATAGCAGTGGAATAGCAACATACATCTTCAATATTGTATTAACAACGGAATATTACGTTGGTAAATAGCAATGGATTTTTTCCGTTTGCATATAACAACAGAATAGCAACAAAGTCTTTCAAAATTGTAACAGCAACGGACTATTCCGTTGGTAAATAGCGACGGATTTTTTCGGTTGGCAAATAACAACGGACACCTTCATTATTGTATTAGCAATGGATTTTTTCCGTTGGCAAATTACAACGGAATAACAACAAACTCTTTTAAAATTGTAATAGCAACGGACTTTTCCGTTGGTAAATAGCAACGAAATTTTTCCGTTGACAAATAACAACGGAATAGCAACAGACACATTCAATATTGTATTAACAACGGATTATTCCGTTGGTAAATAGCAACGGAATTTTTCCGTTGGCAAATAGCAACGGTATAGCAACAAATTCTTTCAAAATCGTATAATGTCATTATTATATATAACACTTACAAAAGTAAAATTCTATATATATATATATATGATGATAAATATTTAATTTACATTAATATTATTTAGTTATGTAATTAATTTAAAATAAATATTGTGCCATATATGCATTCCATTCATTTTTAGAATTTTTTATATATCATAATAATTAAAAATATATATATATATATATATAATATTATGACATTGTTAAATATGTTGAGCCTAAAAGTGAAATTAGTAATTAGGCCGTATTATCGTTGAATTTTGTGATATTGTTTTTTAATTAGAGTATTGAATTTTATGATAGATGATATTAACTTGAAATATTGCATTTGATTTATTTCAAATCAATTAACAATTTATGATTTATGAGCGGAATGGTTTTGGTAAAAATCATGATGTAGAGTATAACTTAAATAATTGAATATATGTTAATATTATACCTTATGTAAAACATATTGGCACGATATTCTGCTCCAAATAGCATGTTCTGCAATTAATATAACATTATGATTAACGTATTAAAAAATCTTTTTGCGATTAAAAGATTGACTCATTGTTCATTTATATTTTAAAAAATTGGTCAAACGCGTGTGTATTTTTAATAAAATGAACACTATTTTATACAGGAATTAGAGATATTGTTTCATTGTTGAATTATGCAATCATTTATATACTTATTTAGTTTAGAATTTAAACGTTTTATTTTGTTTGTGCAATTATATCATTAAAAATACTGTTGGGATTTTATAAAATATAATGATAGTCTAATAGATTATTCCCATAGTATTGATTTATACAAAGGACGATCCAACAGTTCGTTGAATTATCCTATCTAACATATATTATTTAGTTTATAATATAAATGGTGCCTTTTTTTTTCTGTGCAATTGTATAATTGAAAATACTGTTGGGATTTTTAAAAATCTGAACGATATTAGATTACATTTTTGTCATAGTAGTTATATATACAAACGGAAGAAAATTGGTAGATGATTTTTTATTTGTTTTAGCACTGGAATGGTATTTTCGAATCTATTAGAGTAAATAACAAATCCAAATATTAATCACAAATTTAGAGTAGAAAATCAAATTCGACTAATATTCGACAATACAT